AGGGAAGCGTCGCGCGGCGGGGCGGGAGGAGAGCAGAGGAGGAGCGGGAGGGCGTCCCAGCCTCGCCGTGCCGGCACTGGAGGGAAAAAATGAAAAATAGACAAGAAAATCCCCTCAACTTCGCTAGTCCGAGCGGCGAGAGCGGGTTGGGGCTCCTCGGGGAGCTGCGCGGGTGCCGGAGCGGCCGCCGCGGGCTGCGTATTTGGGAACCGACCTCGGAACATCGTTAACTGAAAGAAATATATAAAAGAAAAACCCTACCATGAGGGCAGCTCAAACGCGAAAAAAAAAAAAGTTAAAAAAATAATTTAAAAAATGCAAACATGCAGTCACAAACACCTGTTGCAAACTGTGAGAGGAAAAAAAGTGTTTGGAGCGTGCTTAGTCCCTTAGGGCAACTTTTTTATTTATTGTTTTTTCTTGTCTATTGTTTTTCTGATGAGGGCTGATTTAAACCTGTTTTGTAACCTTAAAATCCTGAATTTTCCGTGGAGTTATTTTGCATTGAGACAAGTTTTCTTATTAATAATTTTAGAAATTGTTTTATCAGAAAAAGATATTAAAAGCCTGAGCTTCCTTATCATGACTAGGTATTTCAGAGGGTTAATGGCCACAGCCGCTCTAAGCCAGTCATTCTTGATGCGTCTTTAATGGGCTCGTTTGTAATTCAGGAGCTCTAATGGTCACTGAATTTCCTCTGACATTTCATTACCGCATACCAAACCTTGTGGGATCCCTCTCCAGCTGCCCACCGTCAGCTTTATTTTTGCTCATTCTGAATAATTCTGCGACTCCTTCCAGATCACCAGAGTATCTTTACGCTGTTAATCTCAATGCTGATCTTAAGGGGACCTAAGGAACCTCCTTGCTTTGCAGTCCATTTGTTCCTTTTCCATGTGTCATAACCTTTAGTCAGGTACAGAAGATCCTTGCTGCCTGTCATATGACACTGGTTTCTTCAAAAAAATCTGGCCACGCGTGTGATGCTTCGTTCTGCAAAAGCTCTGTTCATTTGTTTATTTGTTTATTTATTGATCCTGGAGACTCCAGAACCTTTTATATTGAGCTACTAAAGCTACACAGCCTTAATTAATTAGTCTTGAAATCATTAGACCGGATAATTTTCAGACTAACTAAGTTGTTTTAAGCACGTGTCATGTAGGGTTTTGGACATAACAATTTTCAGGCAATATTAAAACAAAAAACCCCTAATTTCTTCAGCATGTGTTCTTTCATAGTTACTACATCTAATAATAGCATGTTAAGATAGGTTCTTATAGTTATGTTATCATTAAGTGTCATTGAAAGAAACAGGGTAAGTAGTTTACACTATTGCAAGGAAACCATGCTCAGGAAAGCTAACCATTACTGTAATCTAGGGATGAAGTCACTCTGGAGGAGCCCTCCCCAGTTCCAGTTCCCTTTTCCTGGTACTTCCACTGAGAACAGCCAGAGCTGGTGAGGTTGTTCACCTTTCCAGGGTGAAGTTCCCTTTAATTCCCTGTTTACCCTTGTCACTCATACTCTTTATAGGAAATTCAACTCAACAAATAACAGCCTAGACATTGGTGAATTTTGGTAAATTCTATATTTTATTTTATATTCCTAAAATCCCCTGAACTGCAGCCAGAATGAAAAAACCTGAGTCGTGATCCTAGAACAACTATGGGTTTAGTTATTTTCTTGGCTATGATTTTACTATCTCTTCCTTTAAAATTACTGTTAGGTTTTAGTCTTCTAGTAAATGTTCAGAAGAATGTTCACAGTATGAATAATAATACAAAGATTTTCTATTCCCAGAAGGAATCAAATGGAATTGTAAGTAGGCTGACCGCAGCTTTTATTTCTACATAACGATTTGACATAAGAAACTAATTCACGTAAGTGGTCAAAGAGTAACCTTACTTGCAATTGTTTTTCCCAAGAGTAGAGTAAAATACATTCATACCATTTTATTTCAAATATGATCTTGCTAATGGTAGAATAGTGGATCCATTAGCACAAGCAAAATTCACTAAAGGTAACCATACTGCAACACTTCATAAAAAATATGATTGTTTAATAATTAAATTGCATATGCAGTAAATATGCACCATTCCAGTCCTATAGCCAGAGTAAGAGAATAGTATAATTTCATTAATTTTTGTGGGCTTAGGAACTGCAAATTCAAGCAAATACATACAGTGAGAAGAACGCACTGCTGCATGTTTTTGTTTGTTTTTTTTGTAGTTTTGCAAGTGCCTTATTTGGCAACTGTTATACAAGTTGTGATGTGTAAAATGATATTTAAAGTTTTATATTGTCTGCTTAATTTAATAAGCCAAGTGATTTTGTGTGGTTGCTTGTCAGATATTGATTTCAGTCATCTAGTAATTAATCTGCATTATTGCCTAAACAAGCAAGGCCACATCGTCTCCTGCCAGTTATTATAGATATTAGTAGTTTTCAGGAAGAAAAGTTCTGGTATCTTTAAAAATGAAGATGAAATAATTCACATTTTACATGTCTAATAGAATTTTCATTGCATTTTTTTCTATGCTTTTCATAGTATTTAAGTTACTGATGGCTTTGTTACACTCCTCATTAAAATAAAATATGACAGTAATTCATTTTATTGTGCTGCACAATCTTTTTTTTTTCTTTTTTGAATGATAAATATATGAAACAATATCCTATCACTTTTGAGTATTCCATTTTACTGCTATGAACAAGAAGAAGTTAAAATAGAAGACCAGACAGGGAAAGTACACTCTGAAAGTGAGCATAAATCAACCATAAAGTTAATGGTATATCATTCATAATAAATTGAGAGGCAGGACACCTAATGAGAACCTGCTTAGGGAAGATGCTTCCCAAGGTGTCCAGCAATTAATTGTAGTGCCTAGTAGCTGCAAATTTCTTCTCAGACAAAAGCTTTTAGGTATGTCGGCCAGATCTATTAAAGGTTGAGGTTTGTGGTAGCTGCCTCAAAAGTGAGTAGTCATTCAGTCTGTGAAGCAAAGATCTCAGTCATCAACATCTCCAAACTTAGGAAAAAGCTAAATACTAGGCTTCTGAAATGTTCTCACCTGTAATAATCAATAATAATATAGTCTTTGAGATGGAAATCCTAAAAAAAAAAAATGGCTATGGAAAAGAAAAGCAATCAGAATGTCTCCCAGTAATTCATAACACTCTTCAGAAATATAACTGAGTTTTCAATGCCCAGTAGCAGAGAAACAAAATAAGTAGGAATAATTCTTTATCACAATTACCTTACTTGTTGTATTAATGGGTTGAACGTTTCCACGCATTCATTATTTCCTATTTATTTCCTAATGAAAATTCACAGTAAATTCTAACTCATGGTCCGGGAGTTTCCCTGTTGTGTAGGATGTACTTTTTTAGATAAAGTAAATTGCTTTCTAAAACAAATGTCATCAGGGGATTAAAATAGTAGTAAAAGTATATTTCTTCTATGTATTAGATGTACATGTATCATGCCGTACAGTCAATTATATTTGTAGAAATTAGCGTTTCAAAGACATATTCTGTCAGAAAGTAATGGAAATTAAAATGAAATAGAAAAGTGACAACTTTAGGGAAAATAAAACCAAGTAGAAATGAACTAAACTTTAGGAATGTAAAACTACATGAAGTTGAATAAAAACACATCTCAGCATTCATTTTTCAGGGGGAAAATACTGACACTGTTTTCTTAGAAGAGTGGATGGTCGTATACTCTAGAAACATCTCACAGCTAGACCAAAATTCTCAAACTTTTTTCAGTTTTTTTTTTTTTTTGCTTTTCTAGGGGACTGCTCATGGAAAACCCTACTTCATCCAGTTTGCAAACATATATTGACCAGTTTTCAGACAAATAAAATGATGAATGGTCACGTCAAGTGTGGAAAAATAGTGTTAGTCAAATGCTAGTGCATATTACTGCCAACTTGTTGATGATACGCATTTCAAATTTAATTTTATGACAGTATCTCTATCCTTCAAACCAGCTCTTGTTCTTCTTCAGCTTGTTCTTCAGTTTGTTGTCCTCTCCTCTTCTCTGTATTTTAAGGCTGCTTTGTCCTCTTCTTTTCTTTTCCTTTCCCTCCCAATATTTCTTTCTGTGTCAATTATCTAGACAATGACTATCTTCTCTTACACCTTTTATTGAGTGCTCTTTTATTTTTTGTCCTAAGGAGATTTATTTGGTTCTCTAAACATTTTATGTTTCTTGAAAAAGTCCGTGTTTGGCACTGCCCTCATTTGTGATACTTAAAAGATAAAACCTGAGAGGGACGTGGCTTCTACCTGTCTGGTGATTAACCTGAACTCTTGTGTGAGTAACCGTGAATTACATAATTACATTTAACTGAAATTGAAAAGATGATCTTTTTTATATTAAACTAATCTTCTGGACAGGAAGGAGTTCTACCTTAAACGGAAGAATTATTAAAAGGTAGGCCATATTTTCTTTTAAAATTGAGAAAAACGTTATCTTGAAAATGGGGCTAACGTAGCTGAAAATTCTGTCAAAATGATGGTAACATCTGAAAACA